GAGAGAGAGAGAGAGAGAGAGAGAGAGAGAGAGAGAATTCCAGTTGCACTTTTTATAGTTCTACATCCAATTCTAGAATTGGAAAGAAATTAGGAATAAGTTGAACCTCGCCTCGGTTAGGAGATAATCGTAAGTTGTGGAACTGGGTCCAACAGGAACTGTAGCCAAAAGATGGTAATATTGTATCCATCATTTTTAGGGAAAGTCATGCTAGATTCGCAAAATTAATACGATATATTTTTAATTTTAATTTTTTAGTGTAAAAAGTACCGAACTCTTTTATTTGTATGTATAATTGTAGAACAATGAAAAGTGCTCTGGAATTGTAATTATTTTTTTTATATTAATAAAGTATCATGCTAAACTTTACAGATAAAAATATTTTAGTTCGCAAACGGAGGAATAATATATAATATATTAAAAATGATATATTGATTTTTTATTTATTAAAATAGTTATATATATTATTGATTGAGTAGATTGACTATAGTGAGAATTTTTTTACTAGCGTTTTGTACGAAATTTCGCTATCTATGTACCGTTACATGTACCTTGTCCGGTTGTTACACCAGATTACTTTAATTACGCGTTTGATTATCGGGTCACAGTTACCGCGGGGAAAGCAAAAGGATACGTTTATGCGTAGTTTCATATCACGATGAAATAAATAACCACATGGCTATATGCGATAATTCGGAGTACTGAAAGCCAGTCGAACGTGAAATTCAGTATGTAGGACTGTAGCGACCGCTGTAGCGATAGCCGACTAACATTATTTTGAAGGGATTTAAACGGTTCGCGCGGCACGGGGAAAACCGGTTCTCTCCAACGTCGTGCATGACGCCAAGTAATGGAATTCCTTTAAGTACCGTTCAGAGTTGCATCAGGATCCAAGGTCATTATAAGTGTCTTTCCGTGGGCAGCGATCTTTATCCGAACTCACGTACTTGCCGGGTGCGATTCCGATCGAGAAGTGTGCGGTACAATCGCGAAATACCCAGGTAGAAACTCGCGTCTCGTTAAATCCGTACAGTAGGCATTTGTGAATCCAACCGTATTACACGGCGTGGTGTTTTTGTCTGCGCGCTGCAGAAGGTTGCGCACCAATACGGACGAAACGTCAAAAAAACTGCAATGTCATTCGACTGAAAAGAAATATCTAGTCTCGTTCCGTTTCTATCTTCTCTGTAATGCGGACGTGGAGCGATCTTTATCTAGATCCAGTAAATTATAATTGCGAAGCCATTAAAAAATTCTGTTAATAATAAAATTATATCGTATTACATTAGATTATATACGTAATGAAATCCAATCTGTGCATATAACTTCCGTATGTCTATGTACTTATATTTGACGAATATTGCTTTATATAGACTCTGATACCTATTACTGTATACATACTGCTTTTTTATTATCTATTATTTAATGATGGGTTGTTCAATTTGAAGTCAATTGTTTCCGTATATTATCTATTATTCAATATGATAGTTCTATTTTCTTTCAATATAATAGAATAATACGTGTATTATTGTTTTCCTTTATTGTTTCAGAGCACGCAGAAGTCTATCGATTCTAATGACACGGGACACAGCGACAGTACCACCGTTCTGCAGACGACGAACGATGATAAAGAGTCCAACATGCGGGAAAATGGCAATGGCAATATGAACCACGTGCACGGTACGGGTAATGGCACCCTGGGGGATGGCGCGAACAACAGCGAGCCTCGATCCTTGAACCTGACGATGAGCGCGAAGGAGCTCAGGGAGATGCTGGCACAGCGCAAAAAATACGACCCGAAGAAAGAATCGATCGGCTTCAAGGATAAATTCGACATCGTGCAGAAACTGTAGACGCATTCTCGTGCCTCTCCTGTGACTCGGTAATCCTTCATTCCTTTATTCCTTCCTTTCCCGTCGTCATCGCCGTCGAGCGCTCCACGACGACGATGATGGTTTTCTTCCTACAGTATAACGCATTTTGTTGTAACCGATCAAATTGTTGTCGTTATAATAAATACACGGTTGTTTAGATTATCGTGGATGTTAAGCATTGACGTCGATATCGTAACATAAATACATTTATTTGCAGCGATAAACGGTGCTGCGAAGATTAGGATAACGAAGGGAGGCAACGCTGTTTGTATAAGTGCATTGTTATTTTTTAGTTCATACTACTATTTTTTTAGTTTTTGAAGGCGAATTTATATGTACAATTTTTGTCGCTTCCGCGTCGGAAGTTACGACAGATTTCGAGTCACCGGTCTATCAACATTTAATAGAGCTATAAAATTTGAAGAGTTTTTTTTTTTTTTAAGGAAAATTTGTCACTTTTATTTCAAGTCATTAATTTTTTTTACAACTATTAATGGCTATATGGTAGCCCGAGAGTATTCATTTTTTTCTGAAGTAACAATTTAGTCTTAAAGATGTTCCTCTTGTAATTAATTACAACGTTTCCCGATTTATTGAATAATTAAATCTCATTCTTTCGACTCGATTATCTACGGTGTCGTCATGTTAATTTCTAAGCACCGTCTGTTAAATTCGGGAGATCCGTTCGCCTCTTCTTCCCATGACTTTCTCCGGCGAGAATTGATCCACGCCGTCCTCTGATGTGGTAATAGTCTCGAACGTTACGTCGATCATAGGATTTTTTACCGATAAAAGACGGTTTCTAATTCCCAATCGCGCGCAATTGAGAAATAACTTATGATAAATATTCTCGCCTATATATACTGACAAATTGGAAATTTACCTCGAGATCTCGACACTTTATTGATCAACAGAATCCAAATGTTTAATTAATCGTGTTTAATTAAATTTAATTATTGTTTAATTAAATGTTTAATTAAATATTGAATAAACCATAAGAAGTCAACATAGTGTTTGCAAATTAAAGTTATAACAAACGTTTAATTCGAAAATAATGTCTGGTAGTGTTTTGAAGACCATCTGTTTTCCATTCCGCTAATCAGTTCGACTTACTGTTCGATTTATTGCAGCTGCTCTCGGTTAAGGCTGTGTAATGGGGATTAACATGGTTGCCAAAACGACAGTTTGATGTCGACACACAAAGAATTCGATGCGCGCGGAATCTCTCGATAATCGTGCGCGAAGCGTAGATAATGTTTGCGTGATAATGGCCAAACTGCCATTGCAAAACGCATCGACGTTGTATTCGAAGATTCGTAGTTTCAGTTCGTAGTCGCGGCACGGCTGTAAGGACTCACAAGGACGGACGTTCCTCGCGTGCGCGCTGCAACAGGTCTATGAAATCAGTCAGTCGCCCGACGTGCGGTCCAAGGACGAGCGATCTGGGAGAAAGTATAGCCAGACGTCGGACGAGTCTCGGTTAATCTCCGTTATCGAATTCAGGACGCAAGTTGTTTTTTACGTTGCACGTTGCAACACCGGGCGGATCAACTCAGGAATTGTATATCCGTGAATTTTATAAATTACGATGCGTCATATTTTGTATTTTGCTCAGACCCGATTCGGTACTTAACGCAGTTAATTGGAGCACTAAGATTAATATAGGCACAACAATGCTTGTATTTCGTGATTAAATTTCTCGTTAAAGCGAATAATGCACTGATTAAATAATTCATTATGGTAATTATTTTCTAAATTTTTTTTTATTCTTTAAATACATTTCTCACATTCAATTTTCAGTGCTTCAATGAGATAATATCGAACAATTTTATTCGCGACGTGATTTTGTTTTTAAAGAGGATAATAAGAGATAATAGTTCAATCATATTTTTCGATAAGAAACGGTAATCATAACTGATAAACGTATAGCGTTAGTGACTAATCGGATCAGTTCAACTCTGCTGTATAAGTTACGATTTAATTGTCAGCTTAACGAACTAGTTATCTCAGGTGATAGATTATGAATATTGCCTTGTGATTAGTACAATGATGTTGCATGTTTTATCGATGCATTTAATAGCCGCAAGATAAACGTTTTTCACACAGGATTAACTATTAATCATTTTATTCTTTTTTAAAATTTATGATAAACTCGAGATTTTGAATGCAGTATGAAAAAGGAGATAAAATTAAATTAAATTGAAATAGATATATGCATCGTTTCTAGCTTATTTTGCTTCCCCATTTCTTTTTTCTTAATGATAGTCTCCGGTTAATGACTGCCATAATTGTTTATTGTCACATATTCTTTGGGAAAACCCAGCTAGCAGTTAATTAAATGCATTTCTTACATGCGTCATGCGTATAATATAAAAAAAATGGCAGTAAAGGTGCAACAAAAAAATGGGAAAACTCGAGGGTAATTCAGGTAAGAAAGTAGAAACTGTAATTTAATTGTAATTTTCATTTCACGCAATATGTCATTGAGTGCCTACCAAACTTAACGTAAAACACACATTTAAAGTAGTGTGTTACGTCCATAATGGAAACATTTCTTCACTTAAATGTGTACGCACAAAGTGCCCGTTTCAAACGGAACGAAATCAAATTAAGCACGTGCGGTTTTCTCGGGACGAATATTATCAGAGAACGACGATAACAGTGGCTCGACAAACAGGTACGGGCGTTCTGAAATTTATAACTCGCGTTCGTGACGTGTGTTCGATAAACCGACTTGTCGAACGGAGGCATTGCGTAATCGACGAAACAAGAATGTCGCGTTACAATGGCAACGCGAGAGAGAAGCCTCCTTTCGGGATTCCACCTTTGTTTTACTAGTCGCCGAGACTCGCGGAAAAGTTGGGTACATAACTCGAGATTCTCGTTACTAAACATTACGACGACACGTTACGCAACGTTCAATTATCGCCATCGTTGTCGTTATGCATTCACCTGTTGAGAGCGCGCAGGCGCCGCGTTTCCGAGATATACAAGTTGTGCCTTTTTATATAAATATATGCATGCAGTCTAGTGAACAAGGTTTTTTTTTAATCTGTCTGGATTCATTCTAACAACATCGGACCTCTTAATTTAATCGAAATACTTAAAAATCATTATTGAAAACTATTAGAAGCAAGATAGTTACAACAACATAGAATATTACGATTTATAATAAATTTTTCTATTGTATGTAAACAAGGATCTATAATTTTTCTCTTGTTCATAATTTTACACATAACATCTTAAAACTTTTGAAATATTTATTTTAATAAAATTAATTCTCAATTTGTCTCGAAAATATTAATTGGTGCAGTTAAATCTAATCAACGTTTCTTTTTGTAAGTTTATGGCAACGTGAATGTTGTGCATCGTTGAATGCTTCCAGTTAAAACCAATTTGCTTTCGTGTTGCCAATAACTACTATTAAATTCCGTATTTAATCTATATTCTCCGAGTGATTTAGTTAGAGAATGGAGTTCTTTAATAGGCCGCCGTAATTTGTCACGAAAATAGCAATCGTAGCAAAAGTGGCCAATAACGTTAAAAATACGTGTATATATACGCACGTACCTGTTGCTCTGTACTAATTACATCTAGTGCGCGTTAGACCGTTATGTCATTTAGTGACTTACCAAGTGAAAGTATTATAATGAGGCACCCGATCGTGCGCGAAGCAGAGAGTTTGGTGAACGAAAATATCGTATTTATACGCATATCGCGATATATTCTTACATTAAAAAAGCATCGCGCGATAATGACGTAAAGTGAGCGGCAAATGGCTTGAACAGAATTCTGCCTTGCAAGATCCTAATTGACTTCGTTGACGTTTGTAATTAGAGATGGAAAACGTTGGTGTAATTTTCGAATGATTCAAATGTCAGTTTTAAAAGAGAAATTATAGTCAAATTAATTAAATTTTACGTTGGTGTCTTGTTTCGAACAGGGAATGATTAGCGTAGATACTAAGTGAAAAGGTGATTGGTTTGTTCATGAAAAGACCAATCATTCGTAAAAGTATTGGAGATGTACTGGAGAATACCTTGCATATGCTTAGTTAAATTTAAGAGCGGAATATTAAGTATATTATGGTTATATAAGTATGTGAGTAAAATAACGAGTGCTTGAGGAGCATACTTTTCAATAATCAGTTTCCTTATGTGTGCGAGCGTGTAATATATCGAAATCTCACAACGTGATTTCTATTTTGCGTAGACAGGCGTAATAAGGCAGTTAATGTCTCAATAATATTTTGACGAATGCGTTTTGGGATAAGAAATGCGATAGAAAAAGGAATTTACATTTTAAATCGTTTTACTTTAACAGTAATTTGCAAGGATTCTACATGTACTTAAAATTCTAAGGATAAGAGCACACGATAGACAAAAGAGCAAAAAGAGTGCTTCACAGTAAGAGACATAGAGACACAGATGACGCAGTATAACACAGTGACTCATTTCATTTTTGTTTAACATTGGCAAACAGCAAGGATGTAATGATTCATTGTGTTACACTGTATCATCTGAGTCTCTTACTGGAAAATACTCAATGTCGACTGACTATTGTGTCATTTATGGAAAACAATTAGAATTGGTTATATACCTATGCGAGCGGTTACATACATTATCAAGGACTTTTTATACCTAAATGATACAACGATCGGTCAGCACTTTGTCTATCGTGTGCTCTTGTCTTTAAATGTTTATAATAGTAATTCATTTATAATAATATGTATATACGATACGTTTATTTTGTGAGCAATGCAGATCCAGCATGATGAAAATTGGAAAGAAGAATTAAAATGAAAAATTATTTAGAAAGTTCTTTCAGACGAGTTGTGTCTCGATGAGAGTTATTATTTTCAGCAGAATTTCTAAAACTACTAATTGTACTAATTGCAAAATGAACGATTTGTGATTAAGATTAAGATCGACAGGAAAAAAAAAATAGTCAACGCGACATTTAAAAGCCAGATTTGAAATCGACGAGCGAGAACATCACAACATTATTCGACCCGCTCGTCGGTTCCAAATGCGCTAAACGTGCAGATTCTTTTTCGTTTCTTTTCTTATTTTTAAGATCTCTTCTCGTAGGATCTTGGAAAACTCTAATCATTACACCGGCTTCTGTAAATATTAGACTATCGTGCATCAAGGTAGGCGCAACGATTAGATGCAAGGAGAATGACTAATGATAGTAGTCTGCGCAAACAAATAAATCTTTCGTGCAATGAGATTCATTACAATTATTGACATGAAATGTATGCGTTTTT